AAAAATCAATAGTGATATATATATATATATATATATATATATATATATATATATATATATGTTGTGTTGTCAAAGTAAGAGAAACAATTGAGACCCTGCAAGTGTGTTTAAATGAGGCAAAATATCAGATCATCAACCTGGGACTTGGTCACAATTTTCGTGATGCCATATGGCAGCAGGGTCTACCATTAGACAACACATTATGCTTCCAATATCTTCCCAGGCGGTAGTACCTCCCTGTTTGATAGCTGCCTGGGTGTGCTGCCGTTCTGTCGTAATGGACCGTCGAATTATATTTAATTCGTTGGCATCCACCTGACTTGCTGCATTCTGAGCTATTATGTGTTCAGTGAGGGCCGCCGTGGGGTTGACAGAGCTCTGATGTTCTGTGGCAGCAATTTCCTCTGGATTAGTCAATCCCATTCATCCCATTCTCGGTGGTAAGGTAAGGGATGACCTTTCTGCTGGGGTTAAGTAATGGTTTTTCATTATTGTTGGGATATAAGCGACCCTGATAGCTTCTTCCAGAGGGTGGATGAGGGGTCCGATATCGGGGATAGTGCGCATCCGGTAGGTCCAGCGATGCTTGACTCATGCAGCGTTTGTGGCAGCAATATCCGACTGTGAATGAATTTCTTCCACCCACTCATTTACCTTTCCCGTTACGTACTCGGTCTTGAAATCGTTTTTGCCGATTACCGCAGCTAGATGTCTTTTTGACCGTCCTTTGTTATTTTGACCTCACTTCCGCCAAACATTTCCATTGCCCATTCATAGTGTTCTGACTTCACAATGAGGAAGGACTTGCTGGCATTTGGGTCGTACCCTATTTGTGGACCTCGTGATGTTATCAGGTCCCACCACTTTTTGATGTCCTCCACTTTTCCTGCTCCTGTAAGGTCATCAGCATATGCCACTTGCTTGACCTGCATGTTTCGTAGTTTATTGTGTGTTGGAGCACTGATAAACCTATTGCGTACATTCCCTCAGTTGACTGTATGGTGGTATCTCCTCTCTGGGCCTTGAAACTTGTTATATAGAGGACTGTCGGGTTCCTGTAGGTGTTTTCAACATACATTGCAAAGCTTGGACACGTGATCTTGATGTTATACAGTGTAGCCTTGTGGTTGATTATGTTGATAGCGTTGGAAGCGTCAACCAGGATCTGCCTCACAATCACGCTGCTCAAATATCTTTCTACTACTATTAGAACTACAAGTACAACTACTACTATTACTACTACTATCAATAATAATGCAAAAGGTTGAATTGACCACCTGAGCCTCACACCTCGGCGGTTTATTGCAGCATGTGGCTATCGGTGACGCCTGTGTTACTGACGGTTAAAACAGTGTTATATTAATAACAATGGAAACCCCTCCTAGGCGTGAATTTGTTAAGGTGTAGATGCTGTCGCCAACACAACAACCACACCTTAAGTTAACGAGCTGGATGACCCAGTGTCACGGAATAGTCCGAGAAGACCGGACAACTCGCCAACTGCACTGGCTAACCATTACCACGGAACACAATCCGCAAACCGATTAACATCCAGGTTCCCAATTACTGCTGGGTAGACAGAGGTAAGTGGTGTAAAGAAACCTGCCCATAGTTTCACCCTACTCATGGATCAAACCCGGGTCCGCTCGTTTGCAAAGAGAGCATGCTGACCATTACACCACAGGTCGCCACACATACACATACTGTATATACACACACATAATCAGAGTCACACATACACACACACACACACACACACACACACACACAGGAAGTCAAGTGATAGACTCAGCCCTCCAGCACCCACTCGTAAACATGGCTGACCGACGCTATACTCCCGGCTATACTTCTTCCTCCTTGCTAGGTACTTTCTCTACGCACCCTTGGGCTATGCTGCTATACCTTGAACTTTCTACCATCTCTCACTTGATCCGCCACAACCCTTCACTTGATCCGCCACAGCCCTTCACTTGATCCGCCACAGCCCATCACTTGATCCGCCACAGCCCATCACTTGCCACTTTGCAGCAATTTATGTCACAAGGCTCTATACATCAGCAACACACATCAAGGCTCTGTGTAGCAATTCATGACAACGACTCTATCACCAGTTAACTCTATCTCACAACTTTATACGACCCCCTCCCCTACTCACCCCCACCCCCCCTTTGAAATTCCTCTCACCCCTTCCTCACCCCCACCCCCCGCAGCCTGAGGGTTGGTCGCTGTTACTAGTATTATTGTGAGAGATGTTATTAGCGTAGGATTGCATCTGTTGTAAGCTTTGAGGGGGAGAGGGGGTGAGGGGGGAGAGGGAGGGGGAAGGTAAGAGAGGGAGGGGGGAAGGTAAGAGAGGGAGGGGGGAAGATGAAAAGTGTAAAGAGGAGTTGGAATGGGGAAGGGGGGAAGAGAGACGAGAGAGGGAAGAGGAGAGAGGAGTTGGGATGGTGGAAGAGGAAGAGACACGAAGAGAAGGTGGATGAGAGGGAAGGCGAAAGGATAAAGAAGGAGGGGGAGAAAGAGAAACAAAAATAAATCTCAATCATCTCCTCTGGCCGGGAATCGAACCCTGAACCATATAGTTGCGAGGCGAACGACTAACCACTAAGTCATTAAGCTATTATTATTATTATTTTTCAGTTTGTTAGGTTCAGAAATAGTAACAGAGGACCGACAGAGATACAATGAATAAAAATACATATAAAACCCTCCTGAGATCGTTCATTGTCCATTACATACATACATACATACATACATACATACATACATACATACATACATACATACAAACATACATTACATACATGCATACATATCCACACACACACACACACACACACACACACAAAACGTCGGCCCATTTCCTTACAATTAGCCAACACAGCATTGAGCAACGTGCGTGAGACAGTTCAATATGTCTTGGGAGGGAGGGAGGGAGGACGTTGATATGGTACGTAACAGCAGGTGTTACTCAAAGACTGTGTAACGCTGACCCAAGGAGAGAGAGAGAGATGGGTGTTACCTCAGCATGGACCATCGCCTTAATGCAACTACACCTCAAGGAACAAATGAATAAGAAAACAATAGCATAAAGAAGAAGAAAAAAAACGAGAATAGGGTTAAAAGAAGAAAAAAAAAAGATGTTAAACAATAATAACAACTAAAATGATAAAAAAACAATAACAAAAGCAAAAACACACAAAAACAAGAAACAAAAACAAAAGCTAAACACGAAAAAGAACACAGAAGAAAAAAAAAGATGAAAAATATAACACCAGTAGACAAACACACACTCAGGCACATTATACCCCCACCATATCATTGAGGAGCATAACCTGTATATGTATGTTATTTTCTGCCTCGTTCGTCACTGTGTGTGTGTGTGTGTGTGTGTGTGTGTGTGTGTGTGTGTGTGTGTGTGTGTGTGTGTGTGTGTGTGTGTGTGTGTGTGTGTGTGTGTGTGTTTCTGAGACACATTATATTAGGTGCTTAATCCCTTCTAAAAAAAAAGTACCAGTTAGGAGCCTCAACTTACCAAACACTTCCCCAGTACCATCGCACAGCCGTCGCCTCGGAGACATATTTTGAAAACGAGAAGTGACATGTTTTTATTTCCGTCATTTCTGTCAAGTGTCCACCATCGTTGAGGGGAAAAAGTGTAGGCTTATGTCGACACCAGATGAACCGTGACGTGGTGGAGAGGTTGATGTGTGGTTGAGAGGGGGGGGGGCAGTCAACAGTGTCTTATGTGAATAATAAAAAAAAATGGAGAAGCGATAATCTTGGTATTGCTAAGTTGGGTGACGAAAGATCCGAGGAGACAGTTGGTGCTATTGGTGAAGGAAGGACGAAATGGCCCGTGAGGAAAGAGTAATGGTGAGTGATTTATTTTATCTTGTGTTCTTGAGAGAAATGAGTGGAGTGTTGTAGTACATCAAGGAGCATTACTGAGGGAAGGGAAGGGTTCAGAAAATATTCGTGACAGGAGCGCAAGAAGGAATGACTGACTGTGGTGGAATGTATTTATGAAAGCTGCGTCGCTCGACTCTTGCGCTGTACACCAAAGAAAAAATAGAATCCTGTGATATTTACGGTAAGTGGAGAACAGTGACGACACACACACACACACACACACACACACACACACACACGGAAGAGGTGAGTGGAGTCGCCAGCAGATGGGCACAACGGAGGATGTACTCGTATGATTAATGTCTTTTGTGTGTACGAAAAAGAAAGACTGAAAATTAAGACATTACTAAGATATATAACGAGATAAAAGGAAGTGAAACAGCATTATAGCGTTCGTGTAAACCTCGTTGGTGTCTTTACTTGTACTAGAAGGGTGTATTGGTTCAACTGGATACATCGGTGGTGAATTTCGTCATATTTTCACAGTGGATGATTTTTTAGTCCAGACAAATAAAAATCTTAGTCCCTTCACCAGATAGCCTTCGGTAGGAGTGACACTAAATAGCCCAATTGTACGCATAAATGTTCACGGCTTGGTGATGGCTGTACGCACAATTACACCCTCTCCACTGATGGCCTCTACACACACACACGTTCCTGGTAGCTACATTCTCTCTCACACACGTGCAGTAAGATAATGAAACCTGAGTACTCACAGGACCTCCAGCTCAAGAAACTCCTCGTCCAGAAACTTACCTGTAAAAAAAAGAGAACAGAAAAACAAACATTAAAAACACTTGAACGAAAATATCAGATTCTTTAGCAGTGTATCATTAAAACAGGGATCGTTTGTACACCTGTTGTTATCGTTTGTACACCTGTTGTTATCGTTTATACACCTGTTGTTATCGTTTGTACACCTGTTGTTATCGTTTGTACACCTGTTGTTATCGTTTGTACACCTGTTGTTATCGTTTGTACACCTGTTGTTATCGTTTGTACACCTGTTGTTATCGTTTGTACACAGGTTATCATTTGTACACCTGAATTTTTGTTTACTCTAAGTGCACCTGATTTGGACTACATACACACATGTTTCTTCTATTTATTCACCTGTTATTAATAATCTTCGTGAATTCATTTATCTGCTATACTTACACTTGTTTTTTGTTTTACTTTACGAACACCTGTGTTATCTATCATACACCTGTTCCATCCACCCACCCACCTATGTCTTTGTATGTAATAAGTCATGTTTGTCCAATGTATATTTTCATCCTTCGGGCTGCAGAACTTTTTCAATAAACCGCTAAATATTATTATCATCATCATCATCATCATTATTATTATTATTATTATTATTATTATTATTATTATTACACACAAACACAAAGACTCTCCTTCCCCCTCACAGGTCAGGAATCAAACAGCTATTCTACAACACCTTGTAACTAAGTCAGTAAAATAAAATCACGTTCAATTACCCGTTAGTGAATGAGCCAGAAAATAAAAATCAAGCACATTTCTCCGTCAGTGAGTGAGAGGGTGAGTCAGCAAACAAAATCACGTACAGAGTTGCTGTTGAAATGAAAAAATAAAAATAAAAATACGGACGAAGTTCTTAAAAGATTCTCTCGTTAATTCCTTCACTACAATTGAGGAGGATGTAAATGCCTGTCCAATTACGGGACAGTAGGGAGGGGGGGGAAGTGGGGGGAGGGTTGAGAGGGGGCTGGTGAGTGTGGGTGGAGGGAGTTAGAGGAGGGGTTGGAGAATGTGGGGAGGAGGCTTGAGAGTGTGGGGGGAGAGGGGTTGAGAGGGGTCTGAGAGTGTGGGGAAGGGGGTTGAGAGGGGTTAGATAGGTGGAGGTAGGGGTGCATACGGTAGGTACATCATATACTACAACCACGATCATCCACCACAATTGCTACCACTACTAACATCACTCCTACCCCCCTCCCCCCTACCACCATCACTACTACTACCACCACACGTCAGACCAGGTGATAAATTGGCCACATTTGCAGGACATAATGGTGCTTTACCTGACACCTGCCTGATTGTGTATGTACCTGTAACCCCCCCCCACTCACACACACACACACACACACACACACACACACACACACACACACTACACTCAACTACCAATCAAACTAATACAAATAACAAGCAATAAACACCATAACTCCATCACGCAGACAATAACAATAACACCAAGTAAATGAATCAATAACACAGCTCTCCATCACCTGAGCTCAATCAACAGGTAAGTCACCAGGAGGGAGAGGGAAAGAAGAGGGGCCAAGCAGCAGGTAACTTAAACTTTCCCTCAAATTGGTTGTTGTAAGTGGGACAGCAGCATACGTCCAGCTCGCGGGGTGTAGAAGTACGTACACATTACCTTTGATTACAATGGCGTTGGTCATACAGTACTGTGTGTCCGAGTTTGTGTTTAGATCTGTGCCAAGTGTTGGATTTGATTCTGGTATTGAATTTGGGTACTCTCTCTCTCTCTCTCTCTCTCTCTCTCTCTCTCTCTCTCTCCCTTCCATTATCTCTCTGACCACATACATTGGCTTTAGTGTTTGTTGTGATGCTTCTTATGTTCGTAAAACCTTGTCTTTGTTAGAGAACAGCGTCGAGATGAATGACACGCACACACATGACAGCTGTTGTGTCATGTGTCATAATCGCCTCTCTGTCTGTCTGTCTGTCTGTCTGGTATCTAGTCTTCCATCTGTCTGTCAGTCTTTCTATCAACCTTTCCTTGTGTTTCTATTTCTCGTTTTGCCCCCATTTCTGCCTGTCTCTCTTTCTATGCTGACTCCTGTCTTTCTATCTACCTGTCCTTGTGTCTGTCTCACTCAGACTCTCACTCTAGCCTCTGGGAACAAACCCTTGATGACGTCACCCTGGGAACTCGTTCTTGTAAGCCGTTTTTATCCCACTAAAACAGGATTCAGGCGACCTGGCTCCTAGGCTTCACATCTGGCTTCCGCTGCCTCACTATCAATACATCGCTCCTGCAGGCAAAAGGCTGTCGAACCTTCGTCTGATGCAGTTACTATGAACGTCACTGTATATAGAAGCCGGGCGAATATATACCGAGGATGAAGCCCGTATGTGGAGAGGGTCGCCAGACGCAATGTTCGCTCGTGTTGGCGTTATTATTATAAGAATATAAGAACATAAGAACATAAGAATGGAGGAAACTGCAGCGGGCCTATTGGCCCATACTGGGTAGTTCCGTTTACACCCAACCCCTATTGCTCATATAAGCATCCAACCTATGTTTGAAGCTATTCAGCGTATTCGAGTTAATGATGATATTTGGTAACTTGTTCCATTCATCCACTACTCTGTTTCCAAACCAGTGTTTACCTATTTCACGCCTAAATCTAAATTTGTCTAATTTAAAACCATTGTTACGAGTTCGCTCCTGGTTGGATAGTTTGAGTATCTTTGTAATGTCCCCTTTGTTTAGCCCTGACTTCCACTTATACACCTCTGTCAGGTCGCCCCTCACTCTACGTCTCTCGAGGGAGTGCAAATTAAGATGCTTTAACCTGTCTCTATACTCAAGGTTCCTAATGCCCGGGATTAGTCTTGTCTTTCTCCTCTGAATTCTTTCCAATGATTCTATATCCATTCTGTAATACGGTGACCAGAACTGAACTGCGCAATCCAGGTGTGGTCTCACAAGCTCAAGATACAGTTTTAGGATGACCTCGCTAGTCTTGTAACTAACACTCCTTTGTATGAACCCAAGTACTTTATTAGCCTTGTTACGAGCAAATACACATTGTTTACTTGGCTTAAGGTTCCTGCTTATCATTACTCCTAAATCTCTCTCGCAGTCGGATTTCTCTATGGCATCGTTGTTCATCTGGTATCTGGTTTCCCTGTTTACATCTCCTATACTGAGTACTGACATTTGTCCACGTTGAATTTCATCTGCCATTTTTCAGACCATTCGAAAAATTTGTTTAGATCTTCCTGTAGTTTTGCGGAGTCCTCGTCAGATTTAATAACACGTCCTATTTTAGTGTCATCAGCAAATTTACTTATGTTGCTGTCTATGCCGATATCTATGTCGTTTATGTATATAATAAATAATAATGGTCCAAGTACTGAGCCTTGGGGAACTCCACTTTTGACGTTGCTCCAATGGTACTTAGTGCCGTTAATGCTCACTCGCTGTTTCCTGTCCTGTAATGGAAGGAACAGCACTGTTTTTACCTGCCTCGTGGAGCCAATGTGAACAGTCCAGATAAATAAATGGAGCAGATATGAAGATAATTGAAAATAAATAAATATAAACATAAATTAGACTTAGCATTTTGTTGGTAAGTTAAGAGTGTCTATGTTCGTCCTGGGAATAATACAATAACTAGGTGACTATAGGTTAAGTGTGTCCATGTTCATCCTGGGAATAATCAAAAAGTTTCCCCTTGGTCCACCTCAATTATCAGGTACCAAAGGGAGGGTTAAGGGGTAACATAGTGGGGGATAAGGGGGATAATTGTGTGAAGACGACCACCAATTTGGTCCTGGGAAACAACTTGACACTCGACCATTCTTCCTACCATCACCCACCACCATCGCTACCACCACCTACAATCCTACCACCAGCTATTACCCTACCACTCTTCCTACCATTATTATCATCTTGAAAAACTACTTGACGTTACCAACCTACCTACCACCTATTACTTTAAACTACCACTACCATCTACATACCACTTACAACCACCACTACATATATTAACGCTATCAATGATGTCACTGCAATAACCAATACTACCACTTACCAACCACCACTACTACAATACTCTTCATTATCACTAACTACTACTACTACTACTACTACTACCACCATCTTTACCACAACCACCATCACTCAATTACCACTACCATCACCTATCACTAAAATCAAACATTCTTGTTACCTAAATACCACAACTACCACAATCCTAATCAACAACTATCTATCAGTCACACACACACACACACACACACACACAGCTAGCAGTATTGGCGCCACAGGGATCTTATTTTTACGAGTGCCTGACACCTGAGTGACCTTAATCGCGTTATTCGGTGACCTTTCGGGGTATTGTTGTAGTTCCGCCAACCGGGTAATGACCTCCTTGTGCACCCTAACTGCTACTAACCACATACATTTATCTTTAACCTACACGTATACATAGTTTCATTATGATACAATATATTCAGCATATGTATATAATTTTATCAGTTATAATTACGAAATAAAACCACAATAGACTTATTCTCGTCACATGATCGATTCAGTTTCTCTGTATGTATGTATGTATGTATGTATGTATGTATGTATGTATGTATGTAGTAATAATTCACCAACACCACTAAAACACAGACGAACTCCATTCAAGCAGTACACAAACACAGTACACGTACAGCTCAGCAGCCAGAGATATAATGACTTTAAGTTTCATTATAACTGGAATAAGTTCAAGTTCACAGCTGAAGGTTAACATCACAGCGTCATGACCACTGTTTGGCCAACTCACTCAATAATAACAATAATAACAATGATAACAATGAAAATAACACTGATAATAATAATAACAGCCACGAGGAGAACAATGAGAATAACAGAATGGCAAGTTCTGTTTGTAAATGGAACAATTCACAAATAAAAAAGAAATACGATAGCAAACAATAACACGAGTTTTGGTACTAGACTTGAGGTTCAGTAACAATAAAAACAT